TTCAACCCCTCCCGAATTTTTTTTCTGGCTAGGGCCCTGTGCCGGTGCCTCATCGAACTGCAGCTCCCACGAGTCCACCGCAGTTAACAGTGAGGCCGCACTGCATTCTATCGACAGTGTAGATGCGCAAAGGGAGGTAGGTGGCCGCCTGAAGTTGGAAGAGAGGCCTCGCTTCTAGAGTCATTTCACCGTAAAGGCTGCAGGCGGGCGTTCGTGAATTCCCATTCGACTTCCGCTTTGTTCCCAGGAGGGCCAGGGCCCCAAACCCATGCTTTCAAGGCAGAAAAGCGATCTTCGTGGCTTAGCTTAGCTCGTTTCTAAGGCACCGGATTGTCCCGGATATGAGATGTCCGGGGATATAACCGCCCTGAGTGAAGTCGCGTTTTCACCACCTTTTTGTGGTGCGGGTGGGGATCTGGAGTGCCCCATGCCTTGGAGGAACTGCAGATCCCCGCCCGCACCCTCGAGACCCACTCGCGTTTCCAGGCCAGGCGGGGAGCTCTTGGGAGTGTTCCTCCGAGTCCGAGGCAGGCTGCGAAGGGGCGCCCTCTAGCGGTCGAGGGAGATACGCAGGGAAAGACCCTGCTATCCTTCCACAGTGGGGCCCCTCCGGCCCCATCCAGGCTGGATCCGGCTACAGAAGCAATAGGTTTTTATGAGGAATAGGAAAAGGGCTGGGAACCTCCGGTGGTTCTTGTTCTTTCCCCATTCATCCATTTGGAGTAGCTTTAGAAGCTGCATCCATCCCCAAGGGTCCTTAATCCACCCGCCCCGCAACTTGTACAACGGGGAGCCCCTCCATTTGCTTCAAGCGGAGGGATGAAATAACAAAACGCGGTGCTTGTTCGTGGCTCCCTCTCCAGCCCAGACCTCACACAGACCAGAGCAAAGGCTTTCAGGGTCGATCGATGGGCTCAGAGCCGGTTATAAAGGTCACAGACCCCCATCTGAGCCCAGGAGGGGCGGGGCGGGGCGGCTAGGCTCGGGTTGTTTGCCATAGTTCTCAGCCTCGGGAGGCAGGAGCCCCCGGGGGCGCAACGGGTTAAACCCTTGTGCCGGCAGGACTGAAGACCTACAGGTCGAAGGTTCGGATCTGGCGAGAGCGTGGATGAGCTTCCTCTGTCAGCTCCAGCTTCCCATGCGGGGACATGAGAGAAGCCTCCCACAAGGATGGTAAAACATCACAACATCCGGGCGTCCCCTGGGCAATGTCCTTGCAGACAGCCAATTCTCTCACACCAGAAGCGACTTGCAGTTTCTCAAGTGGCTCCTGACAAATAAATAAATAAACAAACAAACCAGCTTGGGAAGGCTCAAAGGCACTTCTTTCCCGAAGTGGCCGCTAGGGGCGTCTTGACACTAGGCCGCCTCCGCTGTTACTCAGGGCAGTTACTAAAACCTTGGGGGCCCTAGCAGATGGTCTCTGAGTTAGGGCACGAGTCAGAGAAATTTCTTTACAAATACTAGCAGCAAAGCTAGAAAAGGCATGTTGTTTATTTGGAGGAAGCACTGAAGCAGCAGCCTTCCAAATTCTGGAGTATTGTATGGAAGTTGTGCTAGGCTAGAGCATCCCATTTGCATCAGGGTCTAAAGTTTCTACTTGGGTCAACAGAAGTTGTTTTAGCACCCGCTTTATCATTTTTATTTTCATATGTCTTAGAATAATAGAAACACAGAGTTGGAAGAGATCTCATGGGCCATCCAGTCCAACCCTCTGCCCAGAAGCAGGAAAATTGCATTCTTTAAAACGAACAGTACTGTTTGCTATCATTTCCCTTGCCCATGTCACCATAACCCTCATTTATGAAATGGAAAGTGGGGAAGGGGAATAACCAGCAAAAATAGGGCACTGGTTTTCCTCCTTCATTTCTCCCCCTCCCATAAAATGATGTACCCTTTTCTGTCTAGTGACCCCTTTTGGCCTCCACCGAGATAGTGGAACCATACCAAATAAACCTTCCTTAGACAATACCATCAATTTAGAACAAATATTTTTAGAATCAAAATACTATTAATCTTCAACTTCTGAAGAAGTTGGACAACTGCAAGACTCCAGATGGTTTTGGACAGTTATCTCCTCTCAGTCATCATCGGTCATGCTGGCTATGGCTGATGGAAACTGCAGGCCAAAAGCACCACAGTTGCCCACCTCTGTCCTCAACACTTGATGCAAGCATTAGTTCAAGTAGAGTAGAACATTTGCTCAAGAATAAGGTTTGAATAGATGAATGACATATTTGCCCAGTTACAGCTCTGTGAGTACTACATTTGATCTTCAGTGGCCAAATGCCCTGAATTGCTCTATAGAGTTGTGATAGGCCCAAGTAGCAAAATCAAAATTCACCCTGGAAACTTCACTTTTCTTTGTTCCAAATCTTCAATAACTGTATATTATTCATATTTCTTTTTTAATGCAGTATATAAAATGGGTGTATCACAGTACTGCACTGGAGCAGGTAACAGGCAGATTATGGAAATTTTAGTGAATCTAGAAACCATCATCTAAAGTGGAAAATGGCAGTGAAAGCACAGAAACTGATGCAAAGCCAAAATAATTAGTTATTATCCATGTCACACTGAGGAGTCTCAACAGCAAAGTAGACCAATCTGAGCTTCCTGACAAACTCTCGGCCCAGTTTATTGTATAAAATCCCTAGACTGCACACAATCACATTGAGGGCCATGATCACGTTAGTGTGCCTTTTTCCATGAGTGTTTATCATGACCAATCGATAGAGGTCTGACTTCCTGCACAGGACCCATATGCACCCCCATTAAGTAACAAAAAGATATGATTTTGTCACAGAGGCAGGGAGACTGCATTCAATGCTTGTTGTTTTTATGTGTCTTAATAATGACAAGCAGGCCAAGAGGTGCCTTTGGTTTCTCCAAACACGAGAGACAACTCTGAGCAATCTTGCTAGTAGTGACACACCCCCTTTGGATTACTGAAAAACATTTCTTGGTGGATATATTTCCTGCCATGAATGCTCATCTGATACTTGCACTTGTGGAACTGGGGTTGTGTGATCAAATGGGCTTCAACTGTAGCTTGCAGCGTTCCTCACCTCACCTCATGTTGGCTGCAGTCAAGAACATCAGATAAAAACACAACTTTATGCAAAATGTGTTAGTTAAATATTTAAACTTCACATGTATATTTGGAGAATGCTTTCCCCATTGTCTCTCACTCTCTTACACACACATATATAGGCAGGTGATTGCTCCCACCCAAAAACACTGCATAATTTAAACATAAACACTGGTTTTGGGACTGGATCTGATTCAGGTTTTAATTTGTACTTTACACAGGAGCTATCCATGAACCCATTTTAGAGACAGGGTTCAGCACTTTGGATAGTTCCTTCCAAGTTCATTTGAAAAACCTAGGGCAGTTTCATCAGTCTGCTGACCCAGATGGTCAACTGAAATGGAAAATGCACTCATGTTGGGAAGCCTTATGTTGATATTCCCAAATCTTGTGATGACCAGAAGGCCCATGACCACTCCCTGTTATAGTAAAATGACAACACAATGTTCTATTTCAGAATGGTTACTGAGATAAAATAGTATTTCATTGATGTTGCCCTTCTGCATGCCAAATATGGGAAATTTATGGCCCAAATTCCCCATCAGCCCCTGCCAGTCTGCTTAATATTCAGGGGTAGTCATCTTGAACATACAGCACAATGAAATACAAAATTTACAAGAGTGATACATTTATTGGCCAACCAAAATTTTGCTTTTGCTTTATGGTGCTGTTAATGGTAAGAGACAATTGAAGTCAACCCAAGGTGAAGGACAATGTGGCACCTCCACCTCTATTCTACAAAACCTGCCTGGCCTTGAAATTAAATAATCTTATTGCTGATGGGACTTCATTTTCCATTGCTTCAGAAACCTGAAGCTTGATCCCTTGATAATCTCGCAACATTGGCCAGGCTGTCAGGGACTCATGGGGGACTAGAATCTAGCATCTTCTGAACAGCTATGTTAAAAGTGTTTTAACTTTATCTATCATATCAGGAGCAAACCAAAGATGCAGTTGTAATGTATTTAAAAAACACAAGTTTAGTAACTTGGCATTATATTAAATGTCCTTTGACCAGTAGTTAGCCACTTGGAGTGCCTCTGGTGTTGCTATAAGAAGGTCCTTCACTGTGCATGTGGCAGGGCTCAGACTGCATTGTAATAGGTGGTATGTGGTTAGCACTTCTGCATACTTGCATGTTGTGGACACCACTTTGTGGCCCCATTTCTTAAGGCTGGCTCTGCAACTTGTAGTGTCACAGCGCAGTCTGTTCAATGCCTTCCAAGTCACCCAATCTTCTGTGTGCCCAGGAGGGAGTCTCTCACTTGGTATCAGCCATGGATTGAGGTTCCGGGTTTTAGCCTGCCACTTTTGGACTCTTGCTTGTTGAGGTGTTCCTGCGAGTATCTCTGTAGATCTTAAAACCTATTTCTTGATTTGAGGCATTAGCGTGCTGGCTGATATCAAAACAGGGGATAGTGTTTTAACTTGTTAAATTGCTTAATGTACTTTTAGTTTGTGTATTTTTTTTGAGGGGGGTGGTCAAGTTGATTTTCTTGTATGCAGCACTGAGACCTTTTGATAGAGAGTGGGATATAATTAGTTAAACTAATAAAAAATCAATTGCTATCTAGCTTGGTGGTAGCTGACAGCAAATTCATGGAATTTACAATTCTGCCCTCCCACTGTCCTCTCTTTGCCTCTCTTAACATAGATAACCCCTGGGATAATGTGAACAGTAATGCATCAATTTCTTTTCTGAGGGAGAGAAGTTCCCTACATGAACCAGACACTTAACTAGGCACAAATCCTCACTGAATTTAGTGGGAATTACTTTTGAATAAATATGTATAAAATAGTGACATTTTAAAATAAATAAAGCATGAATGCACCAATGACCCAATGTACTTTGTTAGGTGAAGGGAGAGACCATTTAACTGCATGAAAAAAGTAACATTGGCCACCTGGCTGAAAAGTTAAAAAAATATTTATTGATACTAAAACAATGAATTGAAAGTTATACAAAATTCTCCAGTATAATATCTTCTAGGAGGATTTTTTTTAACCTGCAAAATAAATTAAAAAACAAACAGACTAGAAATCTCAAGCCTAAACTAGTATTAATGGTCAGGAATACTGGAAGATAAGACATCACACATGAGAAGCAAGCAAGCTAGTCCAGTCAGGGAAAACAAGCAAACCCCAAAATGCAGCAGTAAGTGCCCCAAGCAAAATCAATGGGGCAGACGTTGCTTTCAACCTTGTTTAATATTCTGGCTGGAAAGTCTGTCCCACTTGAACAAAGAACCTAAGCTTTCCCAGGGTAATAACATCTCCAACTTTTGTTCTCTTAGGACAAAAGCAAAGAAACAGCTCTAGTTAAAGCAATTAGAAAATGTCATATAAGAACTATTTGGCTTTCTTAAAATTAAACACACAGTGATTGACACACATTACAAGAAGCACTGAACCAATATTCACAAGTTTCCTTCTTGTGAAAGCCATTTCTTCTGAACTCACAATTGAGTACATTTGAGTATTAGTGGTGTATCAAAACACTGCAACATAAAGTAACTCTTATGTATTTGGTAATGTAGGTGCAACTTTTAGCAAGGGGATCATACTTGGGCTCTTCTATCAACCAATGTATCGGAGCAATTAAGTTTCTTCAGGAAAAAATCAATTTGATACATAAATATTGTAGCACTATTTGGCAATTTCCAAAGGTTGGGAAAAGTAACATCAACACTTTAAATAAAAATTTCCCATGCCAGAAAGGCAATCAGCACTAAAGTTAATAACAAAGTATAATGGTAGGCTTTGAATACTAACTGTAACAAATAAAGAACATAGAACCACTTTGAAAAACATCAGGTTTTGTTTAAATTGTCATATTTTCAATATTTTTAAACTTTTGATCCAGTTGTGCATCAAGCAACTAATAACGTCTACCCAAGTTGTCAGATGAGTGAGTTATCTTACTGGTTATAGGTAAGGCAGTTCCAGGAGTACAAACTTTGGAATTGAAAGAACTGGTAACAGAAAGGCACAGAATCAGAGCTTCTATATAAGGGGAAAAGAGCAACAGGCCTTTCATTTGTTCAGGCAAACTAGGGAATATAAAGATGCCTGTCACCAAATGGCACTGACTGAAGGGCAGAGGCAAGGAAGCTATATAAAGGTTTGAAAATAGGCAGGAAAGTTTCTCAACAAATGTGAACCATTGTACATTTAAATTACAGATGCAGAAAAAAATATTTACAAAATGGACATATGAACAGGTTAGGCACCTGGAAGGATGAAAAGAATAGAAAACACCAGGATCAAATGGAATGTGCTTGTTGAACCCTGCAACACTGCTAGAGTAATAATACACAAAAGAAGAAAGATTAGTTTCTATTCCTGATAGCTCAGCTGTAGCAATGGACCCCCATTGCAGGCAATCCCATTAATCTACTGATGACCAACAACAAAACAGAAGGTTGGCCCATCTATCAGATCTCTTCCACTCCTGTTTGTGGAACAGGCTGATATACTACAAGTATGATCAGATAGTATGGAGTTTCATCCTCTTATTCTGCTTCAGGATCTTGGCCCTCCTTCGTAAGAGCTATGAGAGCTAACTCTGCCAGCAAAAAGATCAAACAACTGCAAATCAGTGCTTGCCAAACTAGAAGAGCAAGTCAGATTTTGCATTGCAACATGTTTTGCAACATGCATGGGATGTGCAGAAGACAAACTGTAGAACAGTGCTCCCAACCTTTGATCCTTCAGGTGTTTTGGACTTCAGCCCCCACAATTCCTAATAGCTGGTAAGCTTGCTGGGATTTCTGGGAGTTGAAGTCCAAAACAAGTGGAGGCCCAAAGGTTGGGAACTACTGCTGTAGAAGAAAGAATAACAATTTACAAAGGCCAAATAACACCTGATGCAGAACATAAATAATGAGGTAGCAAACACCCCTCCTTTACTACAAAAGTCAGACCAGCCAATTCCACATCAAACAACACAACTGGAACAGCATCTTGGCTATGCAAGCCTGAACTTGACAGGCTTTGCAAGAAGCTTTTAAATTACTAGCCAGTGGAGTACTCTAGTTTTCCAAGTGGAGAATTCACTGGCTAAGCTTAAATAAAACAAACTGAATTACTATTTGGCAGCCTCAAAATGAGAGATGGCTATGTGGGTGAAGATTACGTTACTCTTAGAGGCTCTATTAGAAAAAAATACCACCACTGAAGAAATAAGACTTCACATATACTGCAGCAGACACTATTCTACAGAGCAAACATATAGCAGTGAGAGTGCAGAGCAAACGGAAAAGGAGGAAACCAGATTGAAGAACAGTGGACATGAAAGGAATATAAATCCCCCAGTGATCCAATATACCAACATGCAAAATAAATTTTTATCAAATTTCTGGAGCTGGATGCTTTCATTTTGAAGTAGACTTAGCGGTCATACTTAATGTACTATATTAGAATTAGTGACAACATTGCACATGTTAGTGAAAGCGCTCTTATTTTGTTCTAGGTAAGATACCTTGGTGGTACTTTGTCACTACTATGAAATATATATATTGAGATCCACTGATGACCTTACTTTAGGAGACCCATTCTGTAGAAAATTATCTCAATATAAAAGTCCTTTGTTTTCACCTTGTGAGAAAAAAGCCCTAATGCATAAATAGCTTTATCAAACTGGTCAGCATCCTTAGTGATAAAAATGCTCTTACTCTTGTTTTCACCCCAAAACTTATCCTCCAGACAGCAGTCAAACCCCTGGTAGGGTGCTGCAGCTTCTTCCCATTGGGAAAGGGAGTGGGGAGACAATTCAGATCATGTATGTACATATGGCTGCCCTAGTTTCCAGGGGAAAGAGAAAGGACAATGTATTGCATCCTAGTTTCTCTGCAATGGCCACTGAACTGAGTCTGGATGTCACTTCATGCTCTGAATTGCTTCCTCCACAACAGTAAGAAGGAGGAGCAACCCCTACTAGGACCTGGTATGAAACTATGTGAATGGTGTTATGCTCTGATATAGGATCTTGGTCATCACCTCTTTATCTAATATGGCCTGATTTAGGATTCGGATGAATCATTTGCATAGTTCCAATTCAAATGCCAATGTTCCTTATGGCTGTGTGAGCTATAAAGAAACATGTTCTTGCATCTAAAGACAACTGAAGGTTGCAAAGCATTTCCATAAGACTAATCCAGTTTACTTTCTCCTCCTACATGCTATGAGATTTAGGCCTCTCTTAGGAGTGTGATGAAGTCCTTGGGGCCCTTTTACACAAGGCCATTATACAGCCAGGATTCCATCTTGGGATATGCAGTTTTTGATGGAGGCTTTAAGCATTTCCAGCCAAAGAGGTTCTCTGATAACTCTGACCAAATTACAAGCCTCACAGTTCCACAGGAGGCTGTTAGTGCCAGCTAAAGTGGAATATTAGTGCTATACTTATGTAGAGTAAATGGCCACTGCTAATTGTGAGAAGGACTGTAAAAGTCTATCAGAACTAGACTTCCTATTCAAGATGCTAATATTTCCTTTGAGCCACTGAAGCACCACAAAGACCATAGTGGCCATGATCTTTAGGTCACCTCCCTTAGACCATGAGGCAGCATTTTCTTCAATATCACCCCCATTTGCTTCCCCAAAGAAGGCATACTAAATGACAAGTAAAGATTCTCACTTCACACATCCCGTTCCAGGTCTCCTAAATGTAAAATTCAAACTGAAGATGAGGTTGTTTCACTGTCCTTGGAACTTACAAAAGTCAGATTTGGATAGTGAAGACCATTTCTTTTGGTGAACACAAGTGTTACCACACTAGAGTTGCTTTTATGTTTTTCCCCTGCCCGAGGTTTCCAGGCACCCAGGTATCTTATTTTTTTCCATTCCGAATGATAAAGCTAAGAAGTTCAGCTATAGCTAAACTTGGGCTATCAGCCTTTATCCAACACCCTCTGTTTTTAGTTGACATAAGCAACTAAAGCAATACCCTCATGAAAGAATTCGCCAATTCCATCCTTACATACAGATGTGTATCTATATGTTTCTCAGCAGCATAATAAATCAGTTCCCAAGAATTGCTCTGTAAGTTTCAGGGAGTTTACAGAGAGAAAATGAGGAGAAGTTCAAAATAACTGTGGCCAGTAGTTACAGAACCTCCCAGTAAAAAGTTACTGCTTAATAGCACCTAGCTTATACAAAGCAGTAGCAGCTGGGTTTTCTTTTCTTTTTTTTCTCTTTTCTTTTCTGACATCCAAGGCAACCATCAGGTAGAGTCAATGAGAGAAAGAAAGAAAGTGATAGATAGATAGATAAAAATTGAGATCTCCTGCATGTCTCAGAACTCAGTAATGTCTAAGATTGAAAAAGCCAACACTGGTTGGAGATTCCTTGACAGTCACTGTGATCAGGTTAGCTGTCACATCTGTGACAAAGACATGTTCAATGAGGCTGCGAGTGGGCTTCCAGTCTTGGCTAGTCTGAATGGAGACAGACATGTTTTGGCCTGCCCCAGGGAAAGAAGCCGAGTCTCTGTCTGAATCAGAGCTCGTCTCCTCTTCTCCGGTGCTCATTTCTGACAGGGCTGAAGTCTTGTGGTTCTCTGCTGTGGGACATCCCTCTTTCACACAAGGGGGGCGGCTTTTGGTTGTCAAATCCTTCTCAGCCACGGCTGTGCTCTGTGAAGCCTTCTCACTTTTGCGAGAATCTGCGTCCATTGCTGGTGCCCCTGCACTGGCAACGTTTGAGCCACAGCCACCAGCCCCACTGCCCTTGACCACACCTATGCTTGTCGCTAGAGTGCCACTTGCACTTTTGGATACAGTCCCACAACCATGGCGAGGAAGATTGCTACCGCCAGTGGAGTTTGGCCCATTTTTCACACTCTGAAGATTTAAAGCTTGGAGGTTGAGCTCCTGTTTGGAGGTAGCTGACTGGCTGCCAGCAAGAATCTTGTTGCCATTGTGCAAATTCTGAGCACCACCCCCATACCCTGTTTTCTGTTCTCCCAATGTACTGCTTCCATTGGGCCTCTTAGTCACTTTGGATCCTTGCATGGTCAACTCCAGATCCCCAGCTCCTTTCTGGTTTTTTAGTTTTAAGTCCAGTCCCAGGCCACTCTTACAGGACATGGCTGATTTAAGGGCCAGCCTCCCCACTGTAGAGGCATCCGCCGAACTCTGGTTCTGTGACATCCTGCTCATGTAATGCACAATGGAACTTTGCCAGCTGATACCACAGCTTGGACTTCCAGGGGAGGCATTCTTCACAATGTTAGAGAGATTGTCAGCAGAGGATGGTCCTGAACAAAACCCACCAAATGCCCCTTGAGCTTCTTTCATGTGGGATTTAAGCATGGCAATGCCAGAAGTCTGAGCGTTATGTTGCGGTGGTATCTTGCTCATCAGTTTGGGTCCTCCTCCCCTTCCCATGTCCTTCTGATTTGTTTTAAGTACCTTTGTTAGGTTGACAGTCCGTTTTGCTGCCTTTTGCTCTGGAGGCAGCGGTTTCCGCCCACGTTTCTTTCTCACAGTGTCCTTGTTCTCAGGTTTGGCCACCAGAATCTGAGCCTTCTTCTGAGGCACTGGGTGACTCTCTCTGCTCCGTTGACCTCTTTTTGTCTCCAGATCACTTTCATCTTCTTCCTCAGATGAAGAAGATGAAGAGGAGCTTGAGGAGGAAGAGCTGCTGGATTTGCTCTTTGAAGGTACCTCTGGTTCCTTAAAACAAGCAAGAAAACATGCAAAAAAAATATGGATACAACATCAGAATGAACTGCTTCCTCAGCAATACTGCTGAGTGATGAATTATTGAATCTATTACATTAGAAAGACTTACAACTATAACAGAGAACTCGCTATATATAGCTAACTTCTGCTATTACAGACAGCTTCAGCTGCTCTTCCATGGCAAATAAACAGCTACATTTTATGGATGACATTAACTTAACTAGGAATGGAGAATTTCACCAGGTCTATGAGCCAGTTTTTTGTCTCTGGAACCCTAAGAGTTATGCAATGCAACAAAAATAGAAGAACAAAAGCAAACCATAGATAGCCAACAACAAAGAATTTAATAATAATATATTTAAAAACCTATTAATCAGTGTATATTTTGGGCCCTGAAACAAAATTAAAAGGCAATCAGCAGGTTTTGTAGACTTTCAAGAGCAGAAGACAATTTTTTCTCACTCCCAAAAGATGATTTGGAAGTGTCAGGGGGATAATGGAACACCCAAAAAGAGCACTGGAGGACTATGTATTTCCATCAGCCACCCAGAAAACACAATTACTTACCACATTTTTTCTAGGCCTGCCTCTGGGCCGTTTGCCTTTCTTCCGATTCTGAACCTCTTTCTCATGTTCTCTGAAAACAAACCAACCATCAGTTTCATACATCACATTTTTTCCTTTATCAGGTGTCTTGTTTTCCATTGTCACACAATTTCACCCTAAATTTACTGGCACATTTCTCTTTTACAGGTCTTTCTACAGTTGCCCATGACCGTCTCATTCTACAAAAGTCAAAACATGTATGTATGTATGTATGTATGTATGTATGTTTTTATCATAAAGGTTCCTGCATGGCTTGCAGGATCAGGACCAAACTTGGCATACATAATTTTCATTACCCAACTGAATATAACTGATGTGCTTCAGTTGGAATGCAAACCCTGTTTGGAGAAGGGGGTCCCAAAATTAAAGATGGCAGTATATATATAGAAAAGTTACTGGCCTATAGGTATATGTACGCAGCATTCAGATGCAACCACAAGACAGAAGTATATATATAGCATTAGGTATTGGCAATCAGCCCTGAAAACCACAGTCAGGACATCCACCCCATAAGGAAATAAACAATTTAACGATTTATATTTTGAATGGTGTGCGTGCCTCTGCACCTTGCTCTGTGACCGAGATACCGTGACTTCCAAGAAAAGACTGGATGAAGGAAAACAAAGGGGAAGGGAAAGGCATGAGAGAAGGGGTAGAAAGTAAGGGAAAGAATGGGGGAGAGAGGAAGCAAAAAAGGGATGAAAATGGGAGGGAAGTAAGGAAGGGAAAAAAAAACAAAGATACAAGAAAGAAAAAGAGGAAGGAAGCTCTAAGAGAAAAAGCAAGGAAAGAAAGGAAGAAAAGAGAGAGGGACAGGGTGAATGAGGGAAATGGAAGAAGAAAATAAAGAGCCACAAACAAAATGTAAACCCAGGAAATTCTGGGTACATATGCTAGTATGTAAATTAAGACAAATCAGTTTACCAAAAGAAACATAGGAAGCTTGCCTATTTTTTTAGCAAATGGTATTACACTGAACTACAGAGAGCAGTTTCTCATTCTGTGGTATTCCCTGACCGCTCTCTCTCTCCACCCTAGTCTTCTGGCTTGCTCTGTTGCTATGCAATGGATATGCTACTTCTATTTACTCCTTTGTGTGTTTTTGCCACATTTTCCTACTATTACCTAGTCCCTATGTACAGAAGCAGATGCTTCTCTTTATATTTCTGCTTTTTCAAACATATATTTTAACATTTTACATAGCTCAGTGCCAACTCTGGGGTTGTTTTCATGACAAGATTTTGGTTTTTAAAAATATCTGCATTAGTCTTTACACACAAAGGACTACAAATTTAAAATTGTAAATATCTATATTGCACACGTATGCTCAAGTCAAATCCTGAACAGAGCCTGTGATGGATAAAACATCTTCTAAAATATAAGAACTAAAAATAGGTATATATCATAAACACATAAGTGATGCTAAATCAGATACTCTCAATAATGCACACAAGCATATAATTTCAAAAACTGCATTATCCGACTACAAAGGCTGGCATATAATGGAAGGTAAAATAACATTTAACACATGTGAAAGATGCAAATATTTATCTCTTTCAAAGTATATAAATAGCTTGAATCAGAAAAAGGCACAAAAGACACATTCCTTTAACATTACTTATATTAAGACTAGTAATTTTCTTCAATCTATAAGTGATAGATCACTGTTGTTGATAACTACCCAATTGTTGGGTGGTACTGAAATGTCAGCTCTTCTGTATCCTTCATGTGGGACACAGGGCTGCAATAAGCCCCAAAACCGAGGAAGGCAAGCAGACAACAAACAATAACTCTTGCCAAATGATCTACAAAGTCCAAGCATTCTTTGTTAGTGCAACCTACTCAAAGTATATAACTACAGAGGCAAATCATAAAAACCTTGCTATTTAAGGAAAAGTAAAGGCACACACCAAACCAACAAATCAGAAGGCATTTGCTTCCTCTACCCTCCTCCACATGGATAGGAGGCCTAGGGAGAATAGGAGGAGTTCTAGCTGGATATACCAGTTAATGCCTAGGCATAAATTTACAAAGTAGTAAATTTAGTTCAAATCTAGGTCAAAACTTATCATGAAAAAAATCAGTCTGCAACTGGGGGATGGAAGGCTGCCATGACACATTTGAGCTAATTAGGCAGTCTGAATAAAACACTCTAGTGCCCTAGATGGACCAATGAAAGGCCAGCCCTTCTGGGCAGCACTCACAAAGACTTCAGTGCCTCTGCCTTGCATTGCCTCATCCTCAGCATGGAAGTACAGTGTATGAAAAGAGGAAAACACTATCATCACTCAGCCCAAGCAAACTTCTCTCACCCCAAGGCTGGCTGAAGCTGGATCACAACAAGATGGAAGAGGAATCCCCACATACTACTACCAAAACAACAAAATGGAAATTCTAATATCTTTATTGAACAGCATGGGCTGAAACAGATCCTATGAGTGTAAGACAGCATATCGTCATTCCCACGCTCACCTGTTGTGAGATGCTATGTCCTATAACCCCCAGTTGTGGGAGTGGTCTAGAGCCAAGAGTGCAGGAATCTGACAACACTAATGTGCTAGATAGAAATGTATGACTAATGTACTCATATTCAGATATATTTTGTGAGGACAAATTGTTCTGTACAAAGAGTTTGCTCTCAAAGGACTCCTTTCTACATTTCCCCTCCTCGTAATCTAAGTGCATACAGTGCAAGGCCAGGAACATCCAGTGCACTGTTATACAATACATTAAAATATTGTTTCTCTGTGCAGGGTTTACAAACTGATGACAGTGTTGCATGACAGAGGCAGTGGCAGCTAGCATTTTAATGCACACAATCTACCATTTCGATGCACATAAAGCAAAACTTTCAAGAAATCTTGAAGTCCTTCAGCAGCATAACCTGAATAACCCTGCTTTCTACCAGAGTATTCTTCAAGTAGGGAGTGTTCATTACGTGAACTGTTCAAATACTGTACCCCATCCAGCAACAAATCATAACTGCCTGGAGTAAAGAGAACCAGACTAACTTAAGTCCTCTTTCCCATCATAGTCAAACAGATGTTGACACCTAGGTATAATTTTAAGAAGATTTACCAACACAGGCCTGCATAATGTGAACTTATTGAATATTCTGAATGCTACATATATTGCAAATATGATCACACAGCAACATACTCTATAGTTATGTGAAGTTTGCCACTTATAGATACTATGAAGCTGTGGGCCATTGTGTCAATGGTGTGAGTCATTTCTCACCATGGCACACCCGGTGTGCCACACTGGTATGCCTAATGTAAGAGGATTTGGTCAGCAATTTTTTGGCTAACATTTTTTCATGGTTTGTTCCCCCTCCCATGTTAAGTTGTATGGTGGGCTTTGAGGATAAATGGTTTAAACTATTTTAGGGGTTCTAGTGGGCTTTAGGAGCAACAATGTGATGTTTCATGATACTTTCTGCACCCCTGCGAAAAGGTTTGCATGCCTACATTGAAGGGTTTCTCTTAAATAATGTGCAGGAAAGTAGTGATGCTACAGGTGGTGAAAAATAACCTAGAGCTAGCAGTGTCATTAGTGTAATTGTAAATGTAGTAATGTTCAGGAATGTGTACTTTCCGCTTAGATCTTTAGTCCCACGCTTGTGAAAACAGTTATACAGGAATCTAGGGGAAGCACTTCCATTTGTTCACATGTTTAGCACAGTACAGAAAGTCACCAAAAATGCCAGGCCTTAAAATATGGTCTACTTTTGCCAGTTTCATTGGTAATACCCTCCTTGTTCCAGGCTTCCTTTAGCTTTCAGCTACTTTCCTAATATTTCCTAACACAGTGCTTGTTTTTGTTAAAAGGTATCCTGAATCCATGGGTAACATTTCCACAATCTTTCCTGGGTAGCTGTGGCCATCTTAATGCTGTTTAATGTCCTGGTTGGGTGATTAGTTGGGCAAAATTGCCAGAAGCTACTGCACAATGACACAGAAGAAGGGGAACCTCCTTGATTTATCATTAGGGACAATGCTGGCTATAGTTCATCACTCCATAAAACAGTGGTTCCCAACCTTTGGGCCTCCAGGTGTTTTGGACTTCAACTCTCACAAATCTGAACAGCTGGCAAGATGGCTGAGATTTCTGGGACCGAAGGTTGGGAACCACTGCCCTAGAACCAAATAGCAAGACCCCCCCCCCCCAACGAGTCGTACAGGAGCCAAACAGTCGGGTACACCTCACTTCCACACTCAACAATGGCCAGCAATGTTCCCAACAGTACTTGGATGCAAACGAACACCACAGAAGAGTCAGTGATAGTTTTTCCAAGAAATACTCTAATTGGTCATTACTGTTGTATAGGACAAATTTTCAATGTACACTAAGTTGGACTTATGTTCACCATGCCTTTACCTTGCAAAAGTATGATAGCTGGGACCCAATGCTGGTTGCGTGACACGGGTTGGAATTAGACATTATGTATTTGAACATGTTTGCATACGATATCCGGATAGCCTTAAGCACTATGCTTGGCTGTTTGTCCCCCGTCCCCCCCAGCCCTTTGTGTTGAACTATCTTGCCATGATTCTGTCGCACCTGCATCTCTCACTCGGTGCGCTGTCTCAGCATTGGGTCCCATCTATCATACTTTTTCCCTTTACCCAATCCATCACATAGAAAAAGCTGCCTGCAGTATACTTTAATTTATTCTGTGGTTTTAGGCTTTCATCTATGGATACAGCTATTGCGAGATGCACACAAGCAACCTGTTAACCACTATGGAAAACAAGATGTTGTATGAGACCGACTTTTGCACTAATTCCAGTAGTGTTATTTTAACATGAATCAAAAGGTAAATCACAACACAAATATGAAAAACACATATTTGTCTGCCTAAGACATATTTTGAGCAACTTAGAAAGCATTACTGGATTCTTTTGAAATTAATATAAATTGTTTTCACTATTTTATTCAAGTCAGTAGAAACTATTGATAGTGCTTAGCCAGAACTCTAAGAAGGTTTAATTTCATTGAAAAGTATGATTGACTCTTAAGACTTATTGTTGTACTCTTACAGAATAAATGGTCACAAGAAGCTATTTTGAATTATTTAGGAAGAAACAGCCAACAAAACAACGTGTCAATTTCACTTTTCAAAATATTGATTCCACAAAACAATGCTGAAACTGAGAAGTACAACTCATTCATAATCTACTTGTTTAGTAGACATTCTTTCAGATGACTCTTTCCACTCACAGTTTGCATTAATGTCATGTGTGCAACATGAAGAGTGCTGTACTTTAAGCTGACATCTATGGTGTAGTGAATACAAGTGACACAGGTAGAGGAACAGCAAGATGGAAAATTTAAGAATATTCCATATTCAGTCTTATATCTGTATTTACAACACCAACCAGGCTTGTACATTGCCTTCATGTTCAGGTTTAACAGAAAGGTTGGCTAAGAGGCAACAATGAATACACAATACTCTACTCTGTATCCTGCATCCATAATCCAGCCAGCTACCCCTCCACTTGGCAATGTTTGCAGACTACTCACTTCTTCTGAAAGGCCAGGAGCAGCCTGGGATCAAGAATGTTCTCTTCTGGTTCCCAGCTGTTGTGCCTATAAAAGAATAACAGGTTACTGCAAGCACAGCCTGTTTCCTTAAGGTAAGACGCTAAATAGCCATTGTACTCTATTATAAGCCTTTATAAGGTGGTTCCCAACCTGTGATCAGTGGACCACCAGTAGTCCGCAAGAACAAACATGTGGCCTGTAGCCTCATCATTACTACACTGTTGTCTCAAACCATGAGACAAAGAGAGCAACTGGTCTTGGGAAACCCTCTTATAGTGCTGAGTGAATGGGGGATGAGAGGGGAGAGGTTGACTACCTACAAAAGATTACTTCTACCACATCCGCTCTAGATTATTAAATATGATTTTTCTGTGGATGAGCAGATGGCAACTACTGGCATATGTTCTGTATCAGAAACTAGAGCTGATGTGGTCTATTCAATGCAGTTTTCTGAATCTGCACCCCAAATAACCAAACCAAATCTAAAGTTGACCAAGAACTGATTCGTAACCCTTTTAGTACTAATATTGGAGATTGGTCCTGGTTAAAAAAAAAAAAGGTTGGGAACCACTCCCTTAGAGCTGTGGGTCCCCAGCTGGTAAACTGGCTGGGATTTCTGGGAGTTGTAGGCCAAGACACCTGGGGACCCACAGTTGAGAACCACTGCTCTAAGGCAAAGCTGGTCCATTCCCATAAAAATACAACACACTGTTGGAAAGAACTCCCCTTTTCACTATGAACAGCTGCCAGAGTCTACAGGACAGCAGCACAGGCAGTTTAAAATTGAATGTCACCTTCTTACTCAGAGGAAATTTAAAACATTGATTAGCGAAGTGGAATTTTAGAACCTGGGATCATAAAACAGGATGTGAATTCAGTGGCCTATGACAGTGGAAAATCAATTTGCTTAATGGAAAAAGACAGGGGAGAAGAGGGGGGTGGGGAAGAGGGCTTGCTTAGAAAGAAAACCTCAGACGGATTAGGAATAAACTTGAGAACACATGTGTGAGTGTGCAAGGAGCTGAGGGAGTAAGAGGAGAAGTCCAGCAGGGAAAGGAGAAAAGCTGAGAGAAGTCTGCTTCGCAGGAGCAGCTGCTAGTGGCGGTGGGTAAATGGAGAAGGGCCCCCTCCTTTGAGGCCCTCCCGCCCTCTCTCCTTCCTTTTTTCTGCAACATGCATCAATTGGCAGCTCAGGTTTCAGAAGGCAACCCAGAGACCCCAAGGGGAGCTCTGGCCATGCCATGAGGGCCTCCTCTGGCGACTCCCCAACTGCAAAACAGCCGAGGAGAGGCGCCGAGGAACCAGCAAGGCGGGCCTGGAGAAGCAACCGCAAACAAGGGCGGGAGGGGCGGCGCGAAGGGGAAGGAAGCCACCAATTCCTGGTAAACAAAAGAAACTCCAGCGGGAGGAACCGTCCCTCTTCAGCCCGCTCCCGGTGGGTTGTGGCAAAACAAAACAAAACAAACGCGCGCGCACAGCCAAGCGGGAACCAAAGGAAGTTCCAAGCGCCTCCCAAGTGCAAACAACATTGGGGGGCGAGGGGGGGGGAGTCCCATCCCTCGCCCTCCCAGGGCTTTGCCAGCCGCCCCCCCCCCCGGCCCCACCCTCGCCCTGTTTTCCCGAAACTCCGCGCCCGCTTGGGCCTGGCCAGCCGCAGCAGCAGCAAGAGCAGCATCTCCCCTGTCCTTCCTTCTGGGGAGAAGCCCCGCCCCGGAGCCCCTCAGCCCAACGGCCGGCTGGCGCTCAGCTGCTGCCTTCATTGTCCGCACTCACTTGGAGGACCAGCCCCGCCACTTCACCAAATACTCCAGCTTGCCCTGTGGAGACGGAGAGGGAGAGAGAGAAAGAGAAAGAAAGAAAGAAAGAGAGAGAGGAGGCGGCGGGTTAGGCTGAGGCGAGGCGGCCACGGGTCTTCTTGCCACCCCCCCCCCTCCTCCCAACTCGCCCCGAACTCCCTTCTTGCCTTCCCTCTTCGCCCACCTTGCGGAGCCGCTTGCTGAGGATGCACTCGGCGGCGAAGACCTGCTCGCCGACGCTGCTCAGCTCCTCCATGGCGCCTTCGGGGCCTTCCTCCTTCTCCTCCTCCTCCTCCTCTGACTTGCTCGTAGCGGAGCCAGTGTTGTGCCTCCTCAAGGCGAGAGAGAGAGGCCCCCCGAGCCAAGGCGCGCGCGCTCCACCTCAGAGAGCGAGAGAAAGCGCGCGCGCGTGTCCTCGCCTCCTGCTCTCCGCTCGGTTGCCGGCGCGCTCGCGCCCCCACGCACGCGCACAATGCGGCGCGCGCAGCCGGCCCCGCCTTCCCGCGCCTTGCTCGGGGGCTCCCCAAATTCCCCAGGAGCCAATGGGAAGGTGGGGAGGCGGGGCCTGGGAGCTGCTGGCGGAGAAAAGGGAGCCCTATTGTCTGGCGCGCGGTGGCGGTGGCGGCGGCCTCTTCCTGCGTGCGGGGGCCGGGGCGCTTCTGGCAGGTTCCGCTTGGGAGAAAACGCCTCTTTGTGTCGCGCCTCCGTGCCTGTCCTGCGCGGACGCCCAAAGGGAACTCCTGCGAGGCCACGCGCCTGGCAACTTTGCCCTGGAGCTCCAAAGAGGAGGGGGGGGGGCACTTGGGCTAAACCCCTAGAAGATGCCACGGGGCCGTGTGACCCAGCCACCCTTCTTAAAACCATTCCCTTTTAAAAGTGGTTGGGAGGGGCGCCCCGGGAAAGCTCCAACTTTCGCGTCTTCGTCTTCCCTTTTGGGAGAACAATTGTCCCGAAATGACTAGAGACAGGCACACGATAACATCCATCCACCACTCAAGGTGGTTATTTTTAATAATATAGATATTATTACGCTCGTAAAACAGCGTTAACAGCGAACGACTCCCTCAATGTTAGAGAAACAGCAAATAAAGGAACGAGAGAGATCAGTTAGTGTTAACTGCCTTCAAATTGACTTCGACTTATGGCGACCCTCTGAAGGAGAGCGCTCCAAGCGGCCCTATCGCAGGCAATCTTGGGCCCTCCAAGTGTTTTGGACTTCAACTCCCACAATTCCTAACTGCCTCAGGCCCCTTCCTTCCTTCCTTTCCTTTCCTTTCCTTTCCTTTCCTTTCCTTTCCTTTCCTTTCCTTTCCTTTCCTTTCCTTTCCGCTTAAGGGGCTGAGGGGGAAAAGGAAAGGGCCCGAGGAGGTTAGGAATGGTGGGAGTTGAAGTACAAAGTCCCTGGAGAGCCAGAGTTCACCCATGCCTGTCCTATCCTATCCTCAACAACCCTGTCCAGATCTTTCCCTTCTGCCTTTTATCTAATCAGGCGTGATTGGCTTTTCTAGTGAGTTAGGCCTTCTCAAGGTATGACCAAAACACAGGCTTGTTTTAGTCATCCATGGCTTCTAAGGAAACGTTCAGGCTGGAATTGCTGTAGGACCCATTGATCTTTTTAGCAGCCCACAATATCCATAAAAGTTTCCCCTAGCACCACAGGAGCCAAACTTTTTATTATCTCAGCTTTCTTCTCTCTTCTCTTTCACAATCATACACTAGTTCATTGGAATCTGTGGTAGCATTGTATTGTGAGTGATGCTCAAGAAAATACTCTGGATCAGATCTCACTCAAGGTGTTTCTATATATTTGTTTATTCATTTAGTTGCTTTTGCCTCTTTGTGACCTCATGGACCAGCCTACGACAGCCCTATCAGCTGTCATCACCCCCAGCTCCTTCAAGGTCAAGCCAGTCACTTCAAGGATACCATCCATCCACCTTGCCCTTGGTTGGCCCCTCTTCCTTTTTCCTTCCATTTTCCCCAGCATCATTGTCTTCTCCAAGCTTTCCTGTCCTCATTATATGGCCAAAGTACTTCATCTTTGCCTCTAATATTCTTCCCTCCAATGAGCAGTCGGGCATTATTTCCTGGAATATTGAGTGGTTGGATCTTCTTGTGGTCCAAGGCACTCTCAGAATTTTCCTCCAGCACCGCAGTTCAAAAGCGTGTATCTCCCTTCGCTCAGCCTTTCTTATTGGCCAGCTCTCGCATCCATGTGTGATGTCTCTATATACCAACATTATAATGCAGTTTGAAGCCTATTCAAGGGCAGGAGGTCCACAAAACATGTACCCCATGCTGTAGTGTGGATCAAGCCAGAAACAACATGTTGGAAAGTCCAAAATAAGCCAGATAATGTAGTGCAGCTGATTAGAGTATATATAATGCAGGGCTTAAAACCAGGATTTATTTATTTTGTATCAAAAGCATTGCATAAATTAGTATAAGGCTGATAAAAAATAGAAGGAGCACAGGTGGCTAAATATCTTTTGACCAAAGACAGGCAACAGCAATGGCATTGTCTGTAGCCTCAAACAATTCTTCCTCTGTACATGAGGCAGGGCATAGTGGACAAACATACAGATGTGGAGTTGTTTGTTCTGTTCCACAGTCACATGAGGTGTGGGATTCTTTTAGGTAATGCCATTTTGCCAGGTTGTCTTTTGATCTGCTCACTTCACTTCTGAGTCTGTTCAGGGACTTCCAAGTTGACATTCTTGGTTTACCCCTGGAGGAAGACCCTTGTGGGGGGCCATCCAGTTGGGATTTCCTGGTTTAGCTGAAACCAGGATGATCCCAAAAGGACATGCATATTCAGATCAAAACATCACAGTGACCGGGTTAAAGGGGAGGAAGCCATTTTCCCATGTCTGTTTAGACACAAATACTACAGTTCCTGGGTTCAGATCTCATCTACAGTCAGTGGATATTGTGGCCACCAGCCCAACCTCAACCCGGTTTCTAGGGTATTTGTGTAGATACTGAACAGTTCGTTCTAATCCATTTCAAAATTGGATTATAATATCTGCGTAGAAGCACCCTGAGCTAAATTCTCCAGGTAATCTTAGAGCACCTCTCCTTCTCATGCCCAACCCCTGGCCTGCAATGCTGTGGCAAGGTTACTGGACTCTCTCACACAAGTGTTTTGAACTATCTAACAAGTGCTATACAAATGTACAGGACTCAACTGTTCAATTTTTGAGGACTACCTGCCCTTTATGTAGTTACTTCTCCTGCATTAGCTGGCAATTAGTTCCACCACATTAACAGTAAATGAACTTTTCTAAGGATGAATGCTGCTTTTATTTGGATAGACAGTTGAGTCTTTAGCCAGTTCTTCTTTTAAAACATTTAGCAGATAGTGATTCGTTCCTAAACGTTCCCATGACACTGAGCAGAATAGACACTGTTTGAACTAGCAACAATATCTTAAATCAATATGTTGACTACTACCTAGAATACCATAGTAAATTTTCTCCAGCAGATAGGGAAAAGGTAGATTTGTATATAAATTACAACCAGCTGGTTGCAAATTAGCTTTCAGCCTCAAATGGGAAGGCAGAATATTCTGACTTAAAAAACCCCCAAAAGAACCTGTCCATAATTGCTCTTCAGGGCTTGAATGAACTACATAAGGTGGTGAAGGTTTGGTCACAATTCCATGATTCCTGCATTAGCATTAGATGAGTCTTGTGACCTTCTCTTAGCTGTGTGAGTCAAATAAAATAAAGGAGCACTCCCAGCATGTGTCTTTTCCTGTTTTCTGAGACCAAAGGTTTGTTAATCTGGCCCAGGGTGAGGTGAGGCCAGCAGGAGCAGTCCAGGAAGAACTGGGATAGCTAAACATCTTGTCTTTCTGACAAGGAAGAGAAGGGAAAAGGTCTCTGTATTCCATTGCTTCACATCGCACAGGACTGGGGGAGGGGGTGGTCTTCCAAATCTTGTTGGATTACAGTTCCTATGTCCCTTACCATTCGCAGGGTTAGATAGGGCTGATGAGAGTTGCCATCTAGCAAAAACTGGAAGTTTCAAAGTTGGCCACCTCTGTTCTAGTGCTTCTGGCTCTCTCACCCTGTCCTGAGGAACTTGGAGCTGCCTGGAGAATGGACCCTGCCTTAGGAAATTTAATATGATCAATCTATTAAGTGAGCAGCTACAGAGGAAGCTTTTTGGGATGTGAAAGGAATATAAGCAAGATCTTCAGTTGACTTCATTGTCTTCAGTCACTGAATTTTTGCTCCACCATTGAAGAAGGCAGACCTCTTGGATACTATTGACAATCAACAATCAGGCATGAAGGACATGTGTCCCATTCAGATGAGGATAACCTGCCACTCCCACCATTCTCTATGGCTAGTTATAATGTCGGAGGGGGTTGGGATCTAAGCTCATCTACAGGAGCCACACATAGTAATTAGTTATTATGATTTCTTTGTGTACTGTATGTCGGCATTGAATTTTTGCCATTTTTTTGCCTGAGTCCCCACCCCCAGGGATGAGAAAGGCCATATATAAATACAGTAAGTAAGTAAATAAATAAATAAATAAGGTCTAGGCCATGCAGGAATGTTTCAAAAAATTATCAACAGTTTGTATCATTATTTTCATTAAACTCCTGCTGCTCTGTACTAGCAAGATACAATTCTTAAAGTTTCTTGCTGCATAAGTTCAACTCAAAATAGGAAAGACAACAAGAAAAATGTTATAACTACTAAATTCATAGCAGAGATTGAAATGACAGGCTTCTACATATCTAAACAGAAGTAAAAAGATAGACCTCTCTCTGGATTCTAGCTACAGGATCCATCAAAGGTCCAAACAGAACAATAGTTTATTGGTGATAAGAAACTAAGAAAGCCACATCCCCCTCAAAAGAAAATAATAAAGTACAAACAAAAACATTGAAATAAATATGGTAAAAGCTGAACAATTAAGGAGAATGGTATATCTATCCCAAACAGCTCAGGAACCAGATGTCAAGGCCTGAAACCATGCTTGTATGAAGAGCAATAAAAGTGGCCCCAAAATGGGCGGAGAGCCATGTTCAGTAATACAAGGGGAGGCAAAAACATGCTACCTAAAAACTGTTGGCCAGGAAGAGAATTGAGCCAAGGCAACCCAGCTCCAAATCATGACAACAGTATTAAAAGTTTAGTGACTCCTAATTTGTCTTTTTTCCCCATCCCCAATTGCCAATGGGAATGGGAAGCAATGTGTTGGTGCACTATGTGCAGAGAAGTTCCTATATTTTGATTGTTTAGCTGTCTCTTCACTTTCAAGGTTAACCTTTTAAAGCTGTAGGATGGGAATAGAGCAAAAGGTTGACTCATAAGCTGGCCTAGTTTCTTTCAAGGACAGATACTTAAGGATGCCTGGAAAGAAACTGCATAAACAAGCGCTGTGACTGAAAGACCCTTCCTGCATTTATCACCTGCACCACCTTTGA